AACACACAAGCCAGCCTGTAGGGACAGAGTCCATCTATAATTCACCTATATCTTAATGCAGCTGTAACTGAAGAGACAAAGATCCAAAGGATGCATCAATACTGATACTTGGGGCTGAACAGAACACCTGCGATAGGCTTAATTCACCAGCTCCTGACATTAACCCCCACCCAGCTCATGCTTCAGCAGCAGTCAACTCATTCCCACTTCCTATCTTTAATGCCTGTAATTAACAGCACAAGAGGGATGCATCATAAGGCTTAGTTCCTAGAAGGACTCAGCTCAAGTTTCCTGTTCCTCTGCACTAGAGCTCTTTGAGGAACTAGTCTTCCCTTTACTTGTCCCTCCTGTGCAGAAAAAACATCCCTTCAGATGTGCAGAAAACCACAGTAATCTAATCAGGGTGGAGTGGCTTGTGTGGCTCAGGAGATTCGAAAGTATCCCTTGGAGTTGCCCCAAGCAGAAATATATGTACATCCCCAAACAACTTGGTGGCAGGGCCAAGGTGAGATAAACCCATAGGAACTAAACAGCACATGGTAGATTGGATCATAGAACAATAGGGCTGGAAGGGACATCATGAAGTTATCTAGTCCAGCCCCCTGCTCAAGACTGGATTGTCCCTTGCTATCCCAAGTATTGGTCAAAGTGAAGTCAAGATCTTCTGAGGCCCCCTACTTTAATCCTACAATACAGGAAATGTCATAATCTATGCACTAGTGCTAGTACCCCATGAGAAATAAAGACTCTCCTAACATAGTCACTCGGCTGAAGCTCTTTCCATCAGCTGCTCCCCTAATGACTCCCATGTGCTGCAAGGAGTGGAACTTACTCCAGGGAAAGGTGTCTAAAACTCTGGGGGGAAGACAGTTGAAACAGACAGAAGGGAAGGAGCAGCAAGACAGCTATTGTGAAGGAAGACAGCTTGGGGGAAGACACTGGAAAGAATTTGCGTGGAGAGGAGCTGGGGGCCAGGTCTGGAAGCTGAGGAGTAGGTAGAAGAGAAGACAAGAGGGATGCTTCATTGCAAGAAAGGGCATTCCAAGGCTGTAGCTCGAGCTGTGTGACCTTTGCCAACTTCATCCCTCTTAGTTTAAGAGAAGGTTACCAGGTCTGTCATCTCTAATAGGGGGCATGGATTTCAAAGCTGAAGAAGGGGTCAGAGCTCACGATGCAGTGGTTCACTTGCAGGTGCAGCCCTTCCTGTCTCTGTTTTGCTAGAAGTGAAATTAATATTGGCCAAGAATCCCTTGTAATTAAACAAACAAAACTTTGGTCATTTGGTCTTTGAACAAAACAACCCACTGCAGGAAACCGTTTTAAAAAGTAATGGGGAAAAAAATAAACCATTACTCAATCCCATAGGTTTCACTTGATATCTGTAATCCAGCTTCAGTTCTTTATAAAGCAGTGCGCATCAACAGATCTTGTAGTTTAAAAAGTGACAGTCTGAGGAGCAAAGCACTAGGCCTGGTTAGGGCTGCAAGCCAATCCTTTACCTAGGGGAGCAGCAGCTGAAGGACCGATTTCTGATGGCGTTGTCTCCCACAAAGAAGGGGAGCTGTTTTTTATTTCTCTATTCAAGGAGATTTGCTGTAAAAGTTAGAACTGCAGTTAGTAGCTCAATCAAAGAAAAAACTTAAGGGAAGCTAGTTGTTACTGAACCAAAGTCAAGCCTAGTACTTGAACTGGACAAGCTCTGAACAAGCCTCCCTTGAGATTGGCACAGTAGACACAAACCAAGCTCTTAAAAAGAGAAAACTAGTTATAGTCTTCAGACCATGACTGCTGTGCTGTCACTTAACATGGTTGAGTCAAGGGTGCAGACAGCAGTAGCACCAGCTAAAAGTGGGAGCCCTACATGATGTAGCACTGCGTAACTCAATGACATACCTGAAGTGTGGGAAGTACTTGGAGATCTCCAGATGGAGAAGTCCTGCAGAGTACGGTTCTATTAGTACTGGGTTCAGTCTAAAAAGGGACCAAGTAAAGACGATGGTGCAAGAACAGACAGGCAGTAAGAGCATGAAAACATCATCTGTGACCAATGAGAGAGCACTGCTCGCTTCCAGGACCTCTCAAAAGCTGGTTGCAGCAGAAATATAAAGAGGACTGAAACTCCTATTCTGCTGCCAATTCCACTGATTCATCTTATGATTTTAGCTTCCATCAAACATACAATAGAAATGCATCCACTTTAAGAGTGTAAAGACAATTTAGGCTCTATTCAAGATGACTGTGCGAAGACAAACTTTGCACTAAAGTAACTTGGCATTTTCCTACAGAGACAAGTTGCATTAGTTCAGTGGTTCTCAACTTTTTCATACCTGAGGCACCCCTCAGACAATGCCAGCTCTTAGTTTTCACTCATTCTTTGACTACAGAAAAAAAGAAATAGAACAATTCTTCTGTTGCAACACCACAGAAAGACCACAACAGGTCAAAATGTTTTTGTTATTATGGATTCCTATTTGAAGTCTCTGGGTTTGAAGTCTCTCTGGAAGTCCAGGGCATCCTGGTTGAGAATCAGTGAATTAGTTCAACACACTTATTACACCAAGCTGTAGGAACTGTGGCTGCTTGCAGATGTTGGGGAAAAAAACCAAAACCAAAACCAGCACTTTACTTGAAACTCAGCACATTCCCGTACTGAGCCCTGTGCATGCCCAGAAGAGGCAGCACCTCAGACTCAGCTCACCCAACAACTGTATAGATTGGACACTTTAGTGGCGCTTTTTTCTAATAGCTGATTGACTCAGCTTTAGCTAAAAGAGCCAAACAGCTCAGCTGAAGTGCCCAATCTATACAGATGCTGCAGAGCCAGGTCCAACTAACGCACTGCTGCTTTTGGTCCCCAGCACCTGCAAGCAGCCTTATATATGGATAGGGCAACTTTTAGTTTAGGCACAGTCTGCAGGACCTGTGCTTCCACAGCCAATTGTGGTTTCTACTGACCTGGACTAAATTAAAACAGGACACTCACTTCAAAAAAGAAGGAGTTGACACCCAGTCTTGCACCCAAACTATCTCTGATTAAGCTCCTTGATTTAGCAGAACAGTTTCAAAGCCTTTAGCTAACTTTTAGATTTCTTGCATTTTATTCAGCACTGGAAAGACACTGGAAAGCTTTAGCCAAGACCTTTGTGAGGCTCTTGGCCTTAAAACAATGGATGGGATGAAGTGTGATCTTAGCCCAGATAAGTACACAGAAGGGAATCTGCTGGCTGAGACAGCAGGAACTTTGGGCCAACTTCTGTGCAAATTAATACAACACTCCCCACAAATAAATGGTGGTGCAGGGCAGAAGGGACAGGGGGTTGCTTTGTGACAAACTAGAGTATTTAGCCTTTAGGAAACAGCACCCTGTAGCTGAAGAGCACAATACTCATGTGGGTGCTTCTGTTGCCAGCAGGTCCCACCCAAGGGGCTGAGCAGCCAGGTGTCAAAGCAGCCAGGGAAAAGAAAATGGAATAGAGAGCAATGCATTTTCAAGCTATTGTGTTTTCCCACCAAACAATGCACAAAGCAGAAGACGTTGTGTTGACTGGGGATTAGTCTATGCTCAGACACCAGTTCAAGCTCAGCCTGCAGCACTCAGCCATTTCAGGGACAGCATTTCCCCAGTGTGAGCAGAAAACCAGTTTAGAGCAACATGTGATGGGAACAAAGCCAAATGCTTCCCTCCCAACAGAGATCCACCCCAGGAAGTTTTGGCTTGTGCCAAATCACTTCCAAAGAACTCTGCGATTCAGCACTTGCTCCTTCCCAAAGCAGCAGCTAGTTCTGTGCCAGTACCTGCCTGCAAACCCCCAGGTCTATCCCACTGAGTCACAGGATCAACTCCTGAAAAACAGACACAACCAGCAGGTCCTCTGCCTATAGAAACCACAAAGCAGGAGCTCCTTGCTGGATCAGAAAAACCTAGAACTGCTTCAGCTACATGGAAACAGCTAAAAGGGGGTGGGGGGGGTCTTTCCGCCTTGATTCTGCATGACCCTTCTCCCCTCACCAAGGTCCTCAGGCAGTATCCCTGCACTGGCAACTCCAGAGGGCTAGATACATGACAGGTCAGTGTTTCTCTTCAAGTCTGCAAAGCAGCTGCTGTCACAGCTCAAGCTGATCTCAGGGCATTAACCCGACTGACAACCCACCCTTGGCTGTCAAATACCACACCACTCAGAGCTCCAACTCCTCCTGGTCCTTCCAAGCAATTCTTTTTTCTCTCCACAGCTTTTAAGTGACCTTTTTTTAAGTGACCAATTTCACTGAATGATAGAATTAAACAAGAGTAATTCTTCTACCTAGAATTCCCCTTTGTATCTACTTCTTCCCCAGAGCTGATGAAGGGCATGCGTGTCCAAAAGCTCATCTAACATCTCTCCCAACTATAAATGGTCTAATATATAATGAAGGCAATTTATGCAGGCAGTTCTACTCTAGAGCCCAAAAGAGACAGTCCTAGCATCAAGTTAGAAGTGACCAGTCCTTTTGCCCCAGATCACCTATCATCCTTGAGGAAGGCTCTCCATTTTCATTCAGACCAGGAGAAACTGCTACCCCACTTCTAATGTTCAGTGCAGGGATGTACTACAAATAGGTTAATAGGCTAATGCTCAGGTTTTTCTCCAATACCACTTCTTTAGGCCCACATGTTACCTTGTGCTAGTAGAGATTACTCCCATTACTGCCACCACAAGACATTCCAACCTTAAACTGGGCTGAAAGGGAACATTGCACTCAAGAACCACTTTCTGTCCTTCCAAGGTATCTCATAGGGAGGCTGTAACCTGCCTTGCAGGCTCTTCTCCAATAATGGAGCCAAGAGCTCCAGTGACAGCTACCCTCCTGCTTCTCCCTGAAAGACGGATGTAGCTGTAAATGGCTCAAGAGGCTGGAAAAGCTATTTACAGCCCAAAAGACATAGCCTCCTTTTGCAATTGTTTAATACTCTATTTCTGCAGAGGCTAAAAGGAAATTGCACAATAATTAGAAGAGAGACATTTGTCATAGTCTACATTCATGTTTCACTGCACAGAGAAGGGGATCAATGATCTTAAATCGACTTACAAACACTGTCAGAAAGCTTAGCATGACCAGCCACCTCTTCTCCAGAGAGACTCAGGGCTGACAAGGCAACAGCTCTGACTAGGAGTGCCCTCTGCTGAGCAGGAGAAATGGATTCAGCCAGGGCACTGCAACAGTAGAAAGAGTCAGCCTTTGGTATTTGGGCTCCACCCAGCTGTTAGCTCTGTCACTGCACAAATGAGTTTAAGCACAAAGATACCAAACCCTGAGTCGCATCCTAAGGTGGCAACAAGACACTCCAGAAACATTGCTATAGAGAATATAAAAACAATGTAAAGGAAAGAGCTTAATCACTAAATTGCTGGGCACAGGTCTCAGCTTCCCCCCAGTTAACCAGTGTGCACCTTTTACATGAACAATCCTTACACCTGTAGATGCAGAGTGGGTAAATGCACACACAAAACACCTCCTGCAGATAAGCATATATTAGGACTTATGTTTGCAAGTTTAAGCCTCGGCTTTTGCCATTAGCACTTGTACGATCTTCACCAAGGTCTAGGGCTGTGCTGCCTGCCACTCTTGGAGAACAGGTAGCTCCTAAGAGGGGCTATAATTTGGATCCTACCCAGAAGGGCTCCTTACGACTATGTTATGGAAAAACCAAAGCAAAACTACAGTCACTTCCATACAGTTGCCTGCACCCCCATGCATTGACTTCTTGCTCCACAGGCCACGTCAAAAGGTTTTGGTCTATGCGCACAGAATCCAGGAGACCCTCACACTGGACAGGCTGTGGTTGCCCACATTGGTGATGTGTATTTTGAAGCCAGAATCTGTGACATCCACGGCTCTCACGGAGACGCCCACAGAGCCATGAGCACTCAGCCCTGCCAACCCCAGCATGATTGCAGGCTGCGTCAGAACACGGCGGGGAAAGCTGACCTCACGCAGGTGTGGCCACCCACAGCCGTCCTCCATCTCACAGTGGGTCCGCACTTCTCCGGAAAGACCTGACAAGGGAGAAAACAAGAAGTTAAGTTTCCTTTCATTCATCTAGAACACACTGAGCCAGACTTCCCACTGATGCAACTGGATGAGCACACTGTCCCCCTCCCACTGTTGCTTTCACATACAGCCGTACTATGCACCTCCACCTCTCTGACCAGCAGACTGGCAAAGCAATCTCTGTAGCGCAGGGAGCACAACTCATCGTCTTCCCACCTCTGCCCACAGGCAAGTACGTTCAAGGCTGGGCATTGACTGGGGTGTGCCCAAGCTCCTTCTGGCACTTAAAGCCAGAGGTTCTTGGCTAGAGGATCTTGCCCCTGCACTCAAGGTCAAGCCAATCACCATATTTGGCATCAGAAAGAACTCTTACCCCATGGTCAGATTGATATGGACTGTGGGTTTTTTGCCTTCCTCTATAGCAGTATATTAACAACCTTTTACAGAAGCAGGACACTGACTGCTGTGGTCCCCCAGCTTTACCTGTGTCAGGTTAGGGTGCCAAGTCTCATGTTATGTCAGAGCTGATGGTAGTTTTACTAACAGGTTAGATTATAGATTTGTACAGAATGGTTTGGATAGGGATGATCCTGCTTCAGACAAGGGGTTAGACTAAATGACCTATGAAAGTCCCTTCCCATCCCACTTCCCTATGACTAAGATACTTAGACAACAAAAGGAGTATACACAACAAAAGAATGGGTGCTTTGGGATGCCAGGACTGAACTGTGCCCCTGAAGCAAATGTTACAGTACCCCGTGCCCTCTGCCCCAGGCAAAATCTGTTTTCACAGGGATTAGAGACAGTTAATGCACAGATCATAGTGCCCCTTTCCTCCAAAGTCATAAAGAGCCCGGATGGTTGGCAGAAGCTGACAGACTGCCAGAGAAAAGGCATCAGCCAGGCTTGTTTAAGCCTGAAGAACCAGGGTGTGCAGGGGGAAGAAAAGGCGGCACTGGCAGCAATCCCTTACAGTCAAGGATGATCACCCTGGCAGGTCAAGTAAAGGGTTGTAAATGAGTCCATTGATAGCTAAGAGACTGATCTTAGAGCTGCAGACTCTGGCAGATGCCACAGGTGGTGGTTAAAAGGGAGGGCTGAACCACAGATTTCTCCACCTTATTTCCTTTCCTTCCATTTCTGTCATTTTTCTGTGTCCAGGGAGAGACTACTTTCCTCAAAGTAAGAAACACCTTCTCTTACAAGTTGTTGCCATATAGCCCTGTCCCCGGATAGTTTTTCCCAGTTTGTGGTCTCAGTGACACACATCTTAATGTTTGCCCTGAGGATGTCCTCTGGGCCCTGTGTGTCCTTTGTCCTTGGCCGAGTTGGGAGTATAGCAGTGGTTTGGGTAAACATACATCAGACGTGCACACACAGCGCCCCATCCACTGCTGCTGATGTTGAATAAGCAATGCTTCCATACCGGTTGTGTTAGTGTCGGTGAGGACACTGGCATTTGTACGACAATCCTCCCACTTTATGCCAAGGATCTCCCAGAGGTGGTGCTGGTGATGGCAGTCCAGGCTTCTCAGGTGGTCCCTGTGGGTCACCCAAGTTTCACAGCCATAGAGAAGAGTTGAAACTGCGACAGCCTTATACAGTAGGAGCTTTGTTAAAGTCCTTATGTCACAATCATTGAATGCACAATGATTCAGTCTTCCAAAGGCAGAGCTGGCACATGAGATCCTATACTGGATCTCCTCATCAATGTTGGCCTTCTTTGAGAGATGCCTGCCAAGGTATGTAAAGTGTTCAGCTTTCTCCAGATCCTGTCTGTCAATGAGGCTGTTAGCCAGGGCAGCTGACTGTCCCAGAGCAGGCTGGTAAAACAGCTTTGTTTTTCCAATGTTAAAGGTCAGTCCCAGGCACAGATATGCTTGAGAGAAGCAGTTAAGGGCTGTTCGTGGGTCCTCCTCCATATGTCCAGTGACAGCACAGTCATCAGCATACTGAAGTTCTACAATCAAAATAACTTTGGTTTTGGCATGGAGGCAGGAGAGACTGAAAAGGTTCCTGTCCATCCTGCTCCAGATGCTGATGCTATGTGGCAGGCAGTCATGGGTGAGCATCTTGATGAACTCAAGAAAGATGGAAAACAAAATTGGTGTAATCATGCAGGACTGCTTGGCACCGGGTCCAATGGCAAAAGGCTCCATTACCAGAGCCACTGCATAAAACAGAGGCAGTCTTTTTAGGAACTCTACTTTCCTAGAACATGGGATCCCGCCAGATGAGACCATTCCTACCTATAAAGCAAATGAACAACACGACTCTTCCTTTGGAACTTTCTTCAGTGAGACTGGATCAGGGAAGCATGTGCCCGAAGCTGTGTTCATGGACCTGGAACCTACAATCATAGCTGAGATCAAAACTGGGAAGTGTCATTTGCTGTTCCATCCTGAGCAGAGCATCAGTGGCAAAGAAAATAGGAAGATGTTGCCAATAGTTATGTCACAGGCCACTACACTATTAGGAAGGAGAAAATAGATTATGTTGTTCACAAAACTCATAAAATGGCTGACCAGCGCAATGGCCTGCAAGGATTCCTGGTCTTCCACAGCTTTGGAGGAGGCACAGGCTCTGGACTCACTTCACTCTTGATGGAGCGCCTCTCACTGGATTATGGGAAGACGACCAAGCTGGAGTTCACTGCGTACCCTGTCCCAGGTCTCCACCACGACGGTGGAGCCCTACAACTCCATCTTGACCACCCGCACCACTCTGGGACACCGAGACGGCTTGCTCATGGTGGACAACAAGGCTGTCTGACAGCTACAACCAGAACCTGGATATTGATTGCTCCACCTACACTAATCTGAAAAGGCTGGTAAGGCAGATCATGTTGTCCATCAACGTTTCCCTGTGGTTTCATGGTGCCTTGAAGGTTGACCCGACAGAATTCCAGGCTAACTTGGTGCTCTACCCCAGAATACACTTCCCCCTCACCACCTATGTACCCATCATCTTAGCAGAGAAGGCCTACCATGAGCAGCTGTCAGTGCTTGAGATCATCAACTCTTGCTTCAAGTTCTCCAACCGTATGGTGAAATGTGATCCTCGCCAATGCAAGTACATGGCTGACACCAAGCTGGGGGGAGTAGCTTGGTATCAGCTATTCCCCACAGCTTGGTGTCAGGGGAGGATAAGTGCAAGCTGGAGGGTATGGCTGGGATCAGAGAGCCTGCGATAAATTGCAGGACTGGACCACAAAAAAATTTCATGAGGTTCAGTAAGGATAATACAAAACTTAGGACAGAACAATCCCATGTAACAGTTCATCTGGAGTACTGTGTCCTGTTTTGGGCCCCCCACTACAGATGTAGATAAATTGGAGAGAGCCAATGGTTAGGGGGCTGAGGCACATGACTTATAAAAAGATGCTGAGGGAACTGGGCTTATTTAGTCTGCAGAAGAGAAAACTGAGGAGGAGATTTAATAGCAGCCTTCGACTACCTGAAGGGGATCTCAAAGAGGATGAAGCTAAACTGTTCTCAGTGGTGACAGATGACAGAACAAAGAGCAATGGTCTCAAGTTGCAACAAGGGAAGTTTAAGTTAAACTTTTCAATAGAAGGGTAGTAAAGCACTGGAACAGGTTACTCAGAGGCACTCAACAGTGTTGACTGATTATGATGAAAATCACAGGAAAAAATAGCAGGAAATGGCCAGTTCCCCTTGCAGGCTTGCAAAGTTCCAGACTGCAAAGGGCTGCGGGGAGCAGGAGGAGGGCAATCACACAGGGGCTGCCAACATGCATGTGCATGCACACATATGCATGTGGCAGCCAGGCAGCCTTGACAGCAGCTCCTTCCAGGTAAGTCTATGGAGAGAAGAGGCAGGGGGGCAGATTGGTCCTCCACAGTGAGAGGGGAGGGAGGAAATGGAGCAGAGCTGGGGCTGGGGGTGCTGCCCACCAGACCAGTCAATACATGGGGCACAGGGCCAGGGCAGGAATGTGGTGCCTGACTGAGGGAGAAGGATGGAATTCGGGTGGGGCTTGTCTGGGGAGGGTGGCAGGGGGCCTGGCTCCCCACTGCTATGTGCACTCCCAGGGAGGAAGGCATAGGGGGGTGCATGTGCCCCCCAAACTAGTGCATGCGGCAGGAGTGGATGTGGGCTGCCCACCGCAGGCTCAAGGCTACCCACCCTGCTGCCCACCCACCCGCTGGGCCACGAAGGAGCCCAGGGGAAAGGCAGCAGGTTGGGGACCCCGAGTCTGCAAGCTGCATCATCCCCAACCCCACCACATGTTCCACTCTGGTTGTGTCACCCACAGGGTAGAAAGGGGCATTGATGTTATCTGTATCATTTTGGGGTCAAAAAAATTCCAATGTTTAAAAGGGGTTGTACTAAGAAAAACGTTGGGCAGCACTGCACTACCGAGAAGGTGGAATCCCAGAACCGCTGTGGTTAGTGACCACTGGTACGAGTCTGTCACTGTCCCGGCTGGGTGCCTGGGAGGGGAACCTTCATCTGTTTGGCCGGAAGGACAGGGGCCAGGCAGACAGCAGCTGTATCTAGCTGCCTTCACGCAGAAGAGCTTTGATGCCCATGGTTCTCAGGAGCCAAGCCCCAGGAAGACAGAGGCCCATTTCAGCTGATATTGCCCTTAAGAGCAGGCATGTCAAAGAGGAAAACTGAAAAGACCTGTTCAAGAAAGTCCAGACGTTAAGAGTGGGACACTCTCCTTCCATCAGGAATCCTCCAGCCCCCAAAGTAATCTGGAAAAGCCAATCTTAGCTAGCCTAGCCTCTTCCTTAGACTCGCTGTCCTAACCTTTCCTCCCAGATCAGGGTATCCAAGATCTTTGACCTATTTCCACTGTGCAGGGCAGCCCACCTCTTGTGTTTCGTGGGAAGAGCTTTCGGGACTTGCAGTCCCATAGCACCACCCAGTGGATCCTGTAGGATAACCAAAATCCACCTGTAAATACCAATGTAAAAAAAAAAAATGCCTCTATCCCTGATGCTTCAGATACTGCCATCACCAGTAACTGAACACTAGCATCTCCACAAACTCAGATACATCTCCCTGAACAAGCACCACCCAACTTATAACAGAGACCAAGAGCCTGTTTAATTTTTATTCCAACACCTCTAGTTGTAGATGCTGTTCTGTCAGCATCCGCTTCTAATTCTTGAAGGCAATGAAGCGGCAGCACAAGGGAGAGGAAGCACATTGCATCTTTTGGAGTAGTGAGTTCTGCGGGTCAGCTGCAGGCCCCATGAAAAAATGTGCTTCTCTTGTAAACAGTGCTCCTGCCTCGCTATCACAATGGTGCTTGCTTGTCATCCTGACCGGACAGGGCAAATAGGAGGCCCTTTCGTACACCTTCCCTTTTGATAGGCCTTTTATCAGCTCACTACCTCCCAGAACGAAGTTGTCATAAGGAAAGACCCATAAGCATGAGAGTTTTCAACAACTCACATGACGTTACACCACGTCACACTGCTGTAGTCGCTAACGCTGCCAATGTAAGGTGGACACTATGCTATGCTATTAGATAATTCATTGCCCCTCATGACAGTCCCACCTAAATGCTTTGCAATCCCTGCACACCAACTGCTGCAGCTTCCTGAGCCTGACGAAGGGTTTTTGAACCCGAAAGCTTGCTTAATAACTATTCTCCAACCATTTGGGTTGGTCTAATAAAAGATATCAAATTCACCCAAGGAACCTTGTCTGCCTTGTACACAATGTGACAGCTGCTCCAGGTCTTCATTATGAAAATATGAAGAGGACCTCTTAGTTAAATATGAACTACAGAAGGGAAACGGAGGAGTCTGAGAGATTGTAGAGCTGGTGTCTGTCCCAAAAATAGCACAGCATAGAGAGCTCCCCAGTCTGGAGCAGACTCTGATCAAGGGACATGGAAGAAGCCATTTCACCTGTGCTAACAGCCCTGTGGGCAGGAAGGAAGGAGCCATGTTGAATTAGCTTCCATCTCCAACATCTGTGGCTCCTCAAGCAGCAAGCAAAAAGATTCATGTGCCAGCTGTTGAGCATACAACACTAGCAACAGGGCCAGTTCTCGCATGAATAAGTGCTACCAGTCATGACATGGGAGAACACCACACCCAGTCTTATTCTAGAGGGATTTTGTTCTTACATTGCTGGAATCTGGTCCCCAGGCTGCTCTCCAGCTTGTCCATGCTAAGCTTCAGACCCAGCAGCTGCTGCTCTACAGCAGCAGTCAGCTGTGCATTCAGATTGGCTGTGCCCAGCTCCACCTGAGGAGACAAGAGAGAGGAAATCCAGATTCTAGAACAGACTCTTCCCTCCCCAGAGAGGCTTCCTCAAGCCTGTGGCACTTGTGCGGGCAAGAGTCATATACCAGCACATCCCAACGCTTCATACTTTGTCTGGGAGATACCTCAGCATCCTATCAGGACACTATTTCCCTCACAACACAGGACAGTCATGTATTCAGTGATCATGACCCACTGTAAAACCCCCCTGGCTCACAGATAAGGCTTTCCAGAAGTTGCACTCAAGGAGAGGTCCTGGGAAGCCCCAGTCAGATGACGGCTTTGTGACAAGGCTCCAAGTCCATGCAAGGCAAGAGCTACTGGAGACAGAAGTCTTTCACTTTACTAAGAGTAGATCTGGTAGCTGTTTAGCCTTCCCACCAGCATATTGCCCACCAGAGCCTCCCAACCTTGATGCTCTAGGACCACTCCAGCATTAATACAGATCCTCCACCCCCAAGCAGATTGCTCACTCCAGCAATGAAACCAACCTGAGTCAATGCTTCTGCAACCACCACACTCACTCAAGAGCTGAGCTGAGCAATCTGATTTCCCATGGGCCTCAGGACAGTGGTTGCATGGTGACCGCACTCCTGTAGCACCATCTCAGGTTGGCTTTAAGCCAATTCCTTTGTTCAATGGCTCTAATAGGTACATCTCTCATTGAGCCAAGTGCAACTTTGCCTGCATCTAAACTCTTATGGTCACTAAAGAGGAAAGCTTACAGCTGTCTAACAGAGTTATTCTGCTTTGGGAGACTTTGTTCCAACCACAATGTCATGTCTTTGCAAGCATCAGGAAACCTCCTTTAAGGGCACCCAGATACACAGCGGAGAAGCTTTCTCCCTCTCCCAACTCTATGCCCAGCAGCTGAGAAGTTTCACAGGAAAGAAAATCTAATGAATCCTGCTACCAAAACAATGTTACATTCCATTAGCTCAGCCAACCTGCACAAGCCAGTAAACCCTCAGGGCAAAGTGCCAACATAGAGCTACAGGGCAGGGAATATCTAGTAGCAGAAAACCTACCTGGGTTCACTCTACAGAACACGGCTTCAAGACCTGCATCTATGCTGTGCTGCTTGAAGCAACAGGAGGTCTTTACTGTGACCTCAACTGTAACTGTGCTCTTTTTTGACCTATGGCACTGCTGGATGTGCAGGATTCCCAGCCACCCATAGATGAACAGCTAGGTTTGCACTGTGCTTTCAAGGCATTTCTATCTCCCTCGCCTTTAGCCACTCATGATCAATCACTGTTGTTCTTCCATCTTTTAAGCCAGCTTTGCGTTGCTTTCCTGAACGTGGGACTTGGCCAGCATGTCCACCTAGCCTCAGAGACAGAGGAGTACACATGGTTAGGAGGATCAGGGTGCTTACTCGTGTCACATGGCCCTGAAGAGTATCAATAGTTGCTTTCAGCTTGGAGGTCCTGCCCTTCAGCTCTCTCCTCTGGTCAGCGATGCTGTGCAGTGCATTGCTCACTCGTTCCTGCATGGCAGCCTTCTCTTCCAGCAGCTGCTGGATCTGCGCCCTAAAAAGCCCCAAGGCACAGAGCAAAGTCAAGATATGGGAGCTGTCAGGGAGCTTCAACGAGCTCTCTCCTGCTGCCGAGCACTGGCTGGTACTGACAGCAGTCCCTGGAACCTTGCATCATCCTGCACCACTTTGGGCCTTGATATTCCATGCCTTCAAATTGCCTTCCCTTGTCAACAGGGGCAAGGCGCTGCTACCATAGGAGGCAAGAAAGTGGCTGGTGATTGTCATGAGGGAGCACTCTCTGCCGCCCAATCCAAAGCAAGTCTCCCTCACACAACCCCCCCTCACCTCAATGTCAAAGGCAGACTAGCAGCAGCCTAGCTGAGCTATCAGCACACACACCTGCCTCTGCCAGGCATTCACATGCGCTCTACCCAGATTCTTCTAAGCAGCTCCATGTAGGAGGTAACCCTTTACTTTTTGCTACACTCCTGCCACGCTTTCACTCGAGCGTTTGTGAGTCTGCTCTTCCCAAATCAAAGTCAGCTGCTCTCCAGAGGCTCCGACAACTTTGCTCATGCCTCCCCTTCACACCCTCAGTGCTACCCCAACACACAAATAGCCCCAAGAATAGTTACCAGATGTTCTCCAGTTGCTGAGACCCTGGGTTGCTGGCCCCACTCTGGTTTGCCACCGTCTCCTTCATCCCAGCCAACTGCTTGCTGTTCTCCTCCACCTGCAGCTGCAAACTCTGTGTAAGCACCATACTATGGTTGAGGCTGTGCTCCAAGGCAGAGGTCCTGGCAAACAAGGAATCAATGTCCTTTTCCAGCCTTTCCTCAGTCACCTGGGTGTGCTCTGTTTTTTGCTGGAGGGTCTGCAGGCTGAGGGCATGCTCTTCCATTCTTCTCTGGTTGCTGGCGAGGGAGCTGCCCAGGGATGCCACACTTTGCTCCAGCACAGGGCCCGAGGACAAAACCCAGTCCATTCCCTGCTTCAGTGCCTCCAGCTCTGTTGCTTGCAGATGCTTCAACTGGCTCTGTACTACAGCCAGGTCAGCCCTGGAGGGGAGATCTCCTCTCAGTTCACTGATGGCCTGCTTTACTTCGGCCTGAAAGGCTGACAGCTTGCTGATGGGATCAGAGGTCGCGATACGTTCAGCCATAGCAAAGGCTCGCTCCAGCTTCTGTTTGGACAACATCTGAGCCAGCTCCAAAGAGGACAGTCGCTGCTCCAGCTCTTCTGTGTTCAACAGCTAGGAAGGAAAGAGGCACAATACTGTCATGGCCACATCATCACTGTAGCATTCAAATATTTCAGGGTCAGTATGTTTTTTGCAAGGCATCAATGGGAGATCAAGGCAGATTTTCAAAGGTATTTAGGGGTTTTAGGTACCTAGTGGGGAAGCACCTAGTGGAAGCTACAGAAGAGCATTTTAGAAATTTTCCTTCTTTAGGCATCTCTACAAATCACATTAGACATTTCTCTGCATCTTTAGGTGGTTAAATACCCTTGAAAAATCTGGCTCTGTAAGTTACCCAAGATCACACAAGAAGCCTCAGACTAGTAAAGCTGTCACTGCAAACTACATGATGAGAACCCTGCCCATTACCTCCAGCATGATATGCCTGGACATCAAAGAACGTAATCCTGAGTCTTTTTGAGCTTGTCTTCATGGTACGAGTATCCATGGAGCACTCGTTCCACTCCTGCACTCAGTGTTTTAAAGTAAACACAGGTTTCAGGTGCCACCTCTTTTTAAAAGTGCAATCTGATACCCCACCAGCTTCTAGGGGACTGTGAGTGCCAAGTACCACACTAAGTAAGGTACTGGCATCTCAAGGTTCATATCCAACTAGAGGAGGCCATTCAGATTCATCTATAGGTACCAGTGTATCATGCACTAGGTTCAGAATCTGGCCCAAGAAAGATTCGCTGGGACCCTTTCTTCTACAGCTGTTCCAGAGCTGTCATGATTGGGGTAAGGAGAGAACATTTACAAAGCAAGTATTTAAAGAAACTGTACAATTGCGTGCAAGTATGTTTCTTTTCCCCTTGCATCAGTTAGATTGTGAAAAGCAAGTCAGTTGAAAACCCAATTTACTGATTGCTATCGATGTTGTTAATGTACCCCTTTGCTTGAAGAACAAAGGATAGTCTTGGTTCTGACATTATAGCCAATGTCCTTTTCAGTTCCCCCTAGTGTTATGCTGCGGTTCCCAACCAGGGGGGAATATTTGTCAAAAATATTTTAAAGAACTTCAAGGTAAAGTTCAGCTAACAACCTTCTGCAACAAGTTTCACACTATGAACACCCAGCAGCCAGCAAGATCACACAGCCCGCCTCCTTGGAAGCATGCTGAAAGCAGTTTGGGTCAATTCTTCTACTAAATACCGATTCTAGGGAAAGCAGCATGTAAGATCCTCTTTGTTGGCTAAGATGCAACGGGAGTCACTCTCAATGGGACAGCAAAGCAGGGTACTGGTAGGAGGGTTGTAGTTGCCAGAGGCAGCACACACATTACACGGTGTTGTTTACTGAAGATGGGCTTATAACAGGCAACCCCAGCAAATTATATTACAAAACATTTCAGCAGCCTGCCATTGCTTACCAGACCAAGCCAAATCTTTAAACATCTCAAAAGTTCCCAGGAAGGGAAGCCAAACTTGCAGAGATGTTTAAAGTAATAGTTTGCAGGGTTCCCCGACACACAGAGCAACATGAAATGGAAGCGACTGGCCAATTCATGTTGCAGGAGCAACACACTCAACATTAATGATAAAAGTTAAAGGGACGTCACCAATGAAGAAAAAAAAAAAGAAAATTAAAATCCACACTGGACTACTTTTAGCCTGTTATCATAAACACTACTGAGGACGACTAGAATGAGGAAGACTCCAGGTTTCAGGAGGTCAGACTTGTGCTGTTGATTATATTTGATCTCTACTCGCTTCTCCCATCTTTTTGGGCAGGACTCAAACAGGCGAGTCTCTGCTTAAGCAGAACGCAACTGCAAGGCTTCAAAGACTAGCAGGGGGCGAGTGTACTTCTAGAGAACAAAGCCCTATATTTCATCTCAGGCAATGGAAGGGCCATTTCTCCTGCTCATATGCCTGAACCCTTGCTCTGTAGGGATCACACTGCAGGGTCACTTGCTGTTACCCCAGCACGGCCCATTAAGTTTTCAGCCTCGGAGCTTTAAGTTTTTTTCCCCTCTGCCTGAAGAAGGGTGTTTGTACCTGGAAGCTTTCAAAGAACAATTTTTCCAACTATTTAGTTGGTCTAATAAAGGATACCACATTTACCCACATCTGCCTTGGAGCAGAGGCTCAGATCTGGACAGTTCATCAAGATATCACTAAGGCTAGCATCCAAAGCACCGTGTAGACTTTAATATGCATGTCCACCTAGCAGGATCCACAATCTTACATGCTCCCCTCTCCTATATGACAAAGCTTAGCACACATTTCAAGTTGCTACTCCCTAGGGCTGGGCAGAAACGGGCAATTTAAAATTCAAAGCCCAAATCAATTATGAAGCTGCCTAATCTCTTCAGACAGAAACTCCCTACCAGGCAAGCTGATAAAGGGCCCCTCTACACAAGCAGGGAGGCTGCTCTACAGCACGTTGGAGCAGACTGGATTAATCGAGTTTGCTGGAGCATGGTAATTACTGCACTCCAGCCGACCTCAACATCACGTACATCAGTGTCCCCACGCTGAAAAATGGCAGCAGGGGTGCTTTAACTAAAGCTGGTTTGACAAACTTCAGTTAAAGCACCCTGTCTCCATTTTTCAGTGCGTGGACATTGATGCACGTGACACTCCAGACACTTTAATTAGCTCGACTCTCAGAGCTGTGCTAATTAAAGCGCCTTTCCCCGCCTCCCAGAGCTCATCTATAAAGACAGAGGGTTTGGGCATTTAAGGCAGACAGTGCTCCCGTCACACACTCGATCAAGCTGCTCCTACTTTGCATCAGAACATTATTGAACGGATAGAGGCTTTCTCGACTTCACAGCTCTTGCCAGCTGGCGCCCAACTCATCTCTCATGACTTGATAATTGCTTACCTTCTCACTCTAGGGGTTCATTCAAGAGGCTGTCTAGAGAACAATACTCCATTTCAGACAGCGACCAAGTACTAAGAGTATAAGGCAGGAGGGGTAGGCGATCCCCAGCATGGCACAAGCACCTTGGGGGAGGATGGTGGGGAGGGACTGGGACTGTGCTGCTACAACATGGATCAGGCCCCTCGTGGCTCCCCCACCGTCCGCCTCTGGCATGCCAACATCTTACAAGTCGAGGTTGCGGGCGTTTTGAGCACTCTGCCCAAAAACGTTGCTAACCCCTGGTTAGGGCTGTTATTGTAACCCTACTCAGAGGCAAGATGTCTTATCTTCCACTAGCTGCCAAGCAAAGGAAACAACTCTGCATTTAGGCAAGAGAGTAAAATCCCACAGAGGACAAGACCTGCGTGAAAGCTACTTGACAGGACATAAGTGAAATCAGCTAGTGCATCGGCAGCTCAGAAAGTGCCCATTCCCCACCAGCCCCAAACAGGCCTTGAATACTGCCATGAGCAAAGTTTTAAGTATTCTGGGATGGAATATGGCATTATGTAAGGGAATAAAGGAAACACATCTGAGTTTGATTACAGCACTTGAGTAAAGCACATTATTGCAAAAAAGCAGGGATCCTCATAAATGGAAAAGGAAGCAAGTCCAAAACCAACACTAACCTTATGACCTCACGGTATCGCTAGCTCTTGAAGAAAGGCTTCAACCATATCTAGACAGGACTGATGTCTGCAGGGATACCTTGTGCCGTTGCTTGTTGTCCCTGGGGAACGCCTGTGCCACATGCCCTCTGGCGCACAGCAGGTTACCCTAGGTGGGATAAGAGAGGCTGGGGCCAGCACTGGGCTGGCCCCAACACCCTTACCTGGGATCCTGGGGCCTTCCTGAAGCTGCAGCAGCAGCAATCCTGCCACTTAGAGCCAGCCAGGCTCTAGTTTTGGGCAGCGCACACTGCCCTCGCGTGCACCACTCATCTTTTTTTTTGCACAGGTGTTTTAGACCCTGGGAACTCCCAGGGTCCAAAAAAAAAAAAAAAAAAAAACCCCCAAAAACCCTGTGTTGCTACTCTGCAGCACAGAGAACCGCTGCATATATTGTACATGGAGCTGTAGACATGTCTACAGCACCACATGCTGCACCTGTCTGGACGCAGCCAAGAGGTCTAAGGAACAAGACTATGCTACCTGCTATAAAAGAAGACAATCACTTTCTCTCCCCTTCCACCCCACCACCATCTCTAGGATAAAAATCATTCCTGATCCCATATGTGGCACTCAGTTTCACCTTGAATGGAAGAGCAACAGTCACTAGCCAGAAACTTGCACGAGGTTTTGGGGGGGTTTAGTCCCAGAAGGAACATAAGCACACCCCATCAAAATCCCCAGCCTTGGCTGAAACAAGACCCAACATTTCAGAGGAAGGCAAAAAGAGAGACACCCATACCAAAAGGAAGGGAAACAATTCCTTCCAGACCCATGGGGCAACCAGCAATATGTTACTATACATTCATCAGAAATACAAGTAATAACAGAGCTAAAATGGCAATTAAAAAAAAAAAACACAAAAACAAAAACAGGAAACCTGAAAAGGCACCCATTCCACCACACCTTTAAAAAAATTAAAATTAAAATAAATCAGCAAGTTATTTCTTGTGCCCACGCCCCTTTTATTTATTTTTAAAGGCATCTACTGGGGAGGGGAAAGGACCCACAAAGATTAGAAGTAAAGGATTAACAAAAGAAAATAACTAGTCATCACAAAACTCTTTATCCATTAGCCAGAAACATATAAAGTTTACATAGCTTGGGGCCAGGGAGTTTCATGGGCTATTCATGAGATATGAATGCAGTCCTGCTAATTTATATAAGCAAGTTTTTAGAGACAAGGCATCTCTGTTTAAGCAGCCAAATGGTCAGTGTCACCTGTCTGTTTTACTGCAAAGTGGAAGCCTGATGCACAATAAAGTCAAGAAAGTATTTTCCTCTTCATTTTACAACCAAAGAAACACTTTTCAAAACAAACACAACTAACAAGCAAACCAAGGCTTTCACCAGCCCTTTTCTCTGATGCACAAGGCATTCAATGCTTCCAAAAGAAGTCGGATGCAATATGGCAGTAGAGAACTTCCCCAGGCCTAATTTTCTCTGAGTATAGAGAAAAGATAACCTGATCTTCCTTACAGAGCTCATTTCAGCCCCTTTGTACAAACCCAGACACTGGCTATGTAGGACACTATTTCTAATGGCTTCCAGGGCAAGCATCCAGGTGTCTCTAGCACTGTGTATATTTATCTGCGCATCTCATGCCCTTGTCCGGTCCCAGCAGAAGTGGCAGGCCTGACCTTGCAGCCATCTAACAGATAGCTGCCCGAGTTCTGAGTCCTAATGGCTCTAGGAATATAGAAGGAAGGAAGGAATATAGGACTAAAGCAGGGGCGGGCAAAACATGGTCCGGGGCTGGATGCAACCCGCCAGGCCGTTCTATCTGGCTTGTGGGGCCTGTAAAAAATTTAGAAAATTGATATTTATTTGCTCCTGGCTGCCTGTCAAAGATCCAGGGGAAGCCAGCAGCAGGGCCCAGCAACAAGGCCCGCCTGCCCAGCCCCGCCCCCCCAACCAGAAGCCCCTGCCTGGCAAAGGCTTCTGGCCTGGGACCATGGGGCTGTTCCTGCTTCTCTGTGCCGGAGAGGGAAATGCAGCCCTCAACAGTTTGCCAAAACTCTGTAAGCAGCCCTCCACTCAAAATAATTGCCCACCCCTGGGCTAGACCTTCAATCATTGGGCTGCAACAGGCCAAGAACAGGGAGCAAACAGCTGTACTTCTGGGAGACTGAACCTAGTCAGCAAAGGATCAGTCTTAAATGTTACACTCCTTTACAAGATGTGCGCACACAGACACAGCTTGCTAGCACAAGTAGTAGCTAAAACCAATATTCACGCAGACCAGTGCCACACAAATCCCCTTTGCACTGCAATGTCAACTGAACACCTTTCCAATCCTACACCCTGCGGCACTTGAGCTTTGACCGACTGTGCATCCTAAGCAGATGCCCCGAATTGTTCCTGGCACAAAACCATCCCCCCCAGAGGATCCAGCCAAGAGCCTGAAGCCATTTCACTTCAAGAGAAGAATCCACTCTCAGCCTCACAGTATGGTCAATCAGGAGCTTTGTACAGACAGATCCTGCCTGAGAAACCACCACTCCTGGACTTTGTGGGGTTGTAGATTCTAGCAGGGTCACATTCAAAGCCCTCCACTGCATGTCCTTGATTTTATTCCAAAAATAACAGTCCCACTTTCTTTCATAGTCTCTGCACACTGTAGCAGGCTCCTGCTCAGAGCTGGGGCAGCCTCAGGAGACCCCCTTTTTGAGTGTCTTATTTCTTTAGGCATGGGGTGAACTCAGGTGTCCAGGTAAAGGGAACAAAGGTGGCCAGGGATACTCAGCAATTCAGAGTAGACTTTTTGCAAAAGTCTTTGTTGGTCTAATAAAAGATATCATCTCTACTATGAGTCCTGAGTAGACTTAGATGCACACAAAGGACTCAGAGATGAATAACTGCAAGCTGCAAGAAGGAAGCAAGAACTGGATCGGTGGTTTTTAGCCAGGGGATGCACCACCCAGGGGCTCCTTGAGATCCTTTCAGGGGTGCTGCAAGTTGCAACACAGCATTAGCACTGTGCAAGCACACTCACAAAAGAAACCCAGGGCCTCCAAACAGCAATCCATGGCACTAAAGACATCCTGGCTCCCTGGGTGCTATCGGCACGCTTTGCAACAAGAGAAGCGCTCTAGAATTTTTTCTGTAGAAGAAAAACCGAGCGAAAACTAGCCGAGCGAGTGCTAACTTCAAAGAGAACAAAAGGCAGCTCATTTGCACCCAGCGGGTCATGAAAGGGCGAGGCTGACAGTTCAGCCAGCTTCAAAAAGAGGGACTGGACACACGCTTGGAGGAAAGGGGCATCGGTCACTACTGAGCATGGGAGTGAGGGGCACAGCATATGAATCAGAGCTTCCTAAATTTTAAAGGGTGCAGGCAAGAGAGGAGCAGCAGAAGAAGAAACCCCAGTCGGACCCAGCTCGCTCTCCCTTTTGCCCTCCACCACAGTGGACTGGCCCTGGCTGGACCCGGTGGACAGCAGCTCTTGTCGCAGATGCGCAGGTTGCAGACACACGTGCTCCCGGGTGGAAGCGAAGCCAAACCCGGGCGGGCTCTCCCCGTGCCCTGTGGAAAGGCATTTGCACCCAAAAGCTTGCAAAGAACGCTCTTCTTTTTTCACTCCCCAACTATTTCGTTGGGTCTGGTAAGAGATACCGCCCGTACCTAAAGAACCTTGTTTTTACCGCATTTACCTAACATTTTTCCCCCCCCAAAAAAGTTATATAGGTGCATGCATGCGTGTAGCAGCCCCCCTTAGCCGGGCGCCCCGCTACCTGCTGCCTCGCCCCCTCCACGCGCTCCTCCAGCGCCTCCAGCTCCTGCAGGCGGCCCCG